CCTAAATACAGAATGGGCTAAGCCCAATTAACAGAAACACACAACTTAACATCTAACAGCTTGGATGATAACCATCAACTCCCGCTCATAAACCGACTTTTGCTAATCTCTCTCAGATAGGGCGTGGCTCCAAATAGCCAAAGGTGAACCTCCGTGCAACAAAACAACCCTCAACCCTTTGTTAGATGCATTTGTCTCCAAAGTGAAAGATTTGGAAGAATTTGGTACCATCAACACTGGTAATTAAGAAATAGAACCCTTCAAAGCATCAAATGCCTATTGAGCCTCGACTGTTTAGCAAAACCCCTCCTTAGTTAGTAATTGTGTGAGAGGTTTAGCAATTTGACTAAACCCTTGCACAAATCTTCTGTAGTATATGGTTAACCCCAAAAATCCCCTTAAAGTCATAGAATTTTTAGGAACTAGCCAATTGGTCATAGCTTCCACTTTATTTGGATCTGCTACCACCCCATCCTTGGAAATGATGTGACCCAAATACTCCAATTGTAGTTGTCCAAAAACGCACTTCTTACGATTATCTGATGCTAGGTCTGATAATTCCAGCGTGCAACATCTATTTGATTAAGAGTTCAATCTCATTCTTTTGATGATGAGAGTATTTTGTAGGGCTGAAGATTAGGAAAGCAGATACCTTCTTGAAGATGTATGGCATGATCATAAGGGCGACTGGTAGGGAGGCCAATTGGATCCTGGAAATTTTCATCAACCATCTCCAAAATGGGCAAAAGCTAATCAGGAACCTGGCTACCATCGGCGTCCGTCGGCGGGTCCTATTTATTCACATTATAGGAGCCTTCGACTTGAATTCATGCACCAACTGTTTCAAAGAAGATTCGGATTTGGACAGAGTGGGATCACCCAAAAGGATGTGCTCCTTAGGCCCCTTACCAATTGTTAATTGTAAACTACCAAAATCAACCCTTACCTCCCCAAATGAAGCCAACCAATCCAATCCCAAAATAACATATGCACCTCCCAATGTGAAAATTGAAAAATGTTGTTAAATTTTCAGTCCTTGCACTTCTAGAATAAAACCTTGATACTTCCCTTGACACTGAACCTTATGTCCATCCCCCACCTCTACGAGATATGGACGAGTGGGTCCTAGATGTAACCCACATCTGGCAATCAGATCCAATAAAATTGTGGTAGGCTTGACAATCCATCAAAACTACGACTTGCTCCTGTCATATTACATTGAGATAGTTGTAAAGTCAAACTTAACTTTGCTCCCCCTTCCTATGAGTATCATTATAGTGGGAAGGGTATCTAGGCAAGAGAATTCCTCCTCCGACATAAGTAGCATATGTAACTGTATTTTTTTTTTTCTACAAACTTGATTAGGACCAAACTTCTCATCACACTAGAAACATAAGCCCTTCTTAATCTTATCTTGTAATTCCTCCTATCACAATTTTCTAAAAGGCGCTTGGCCTGACTGATGCACTTTAGGAACACTACGAAAGGTACTTGCAGAAGCGTTGTTTTCCGCTCGATCAACTCTTGAAATAGTAAAGCCAGCCAAATTTCTCCCGTCCTTTGAAACACTGTGAGTCACAAAAATAGATTTGGAGGCAGTTGGAGTGCATTAAACAGGGAAAGGGCCACCTTTGGAGATGACTCTTCTCTTCCACCATTTGGGCCTTCATCATTAACTCAGGAAGAGTGCTAGGGTCATATAAGTTAACGTCATCCTTGATTTCCTCCTTCAACCCATTCAAAAAAATGCCAACCAAATAATCCCGATGAATCCCCTTCAGAAACCCAACATACTTTTTCTCCGGTGACCTTGACCAACATACGACATTGAAGGAGGTTCACCCTTGGTAGCGCTACAAGACAACATTTCGACCACCCCGGTTAAGCCTCAAATCATGTCCTCCAACTGCTGGAAGCGCTCATGAGACTGATTTGCCTGGTAGGCCTTATCTTGCAAAAGTTCCTGCAACATCTTTCCACTACATCCCGTCTAGATTCCATTCGTGTGTATTCACCATACTCCACACCCCAACAGGACCAAGGAAGTGGCTCTGATACCAAATTGATAGGTATTCAGAAATCACTAGATAGTTGACAGATAGATTAACACGGATGACTTAATTAGAAATGAACATAATGTTCTACCGAATTGGTAAAAACAAAAAAAACATCTAACATACAATCCACTAGGTCTTTGCAGAGGACCCTACTCTCTAGATTTCCACTTTGGTCCACCCTTTCCTAGAAATAAAAAAAAAATTCTTAAAACCAACCAACATAAACAAAATATAATAGATTATTACATAACACAACAGTTGGAAGTTATAACTACCTGCCTCCTATATTTCTTCTAACATAAACCTTGCCACTAAACCTATCAACCCATAGGGTGATGCCTTAGCCAATCTTAGTTGGTGTCAGACCATGTTTGATGAAATCAATCCTTAGCCAATCTTAGTTGGTTGCAGTTGGGTCTTTACTATCAAAGTTGCTACTACAAGATACTATATATTCCTTGGAGGGAACCTTCTATCTTGGAAAAGTAAGAAGCAAAGTATTGTTGCTCGATCTTGTGTTGCAGTTGAATATTGATCTATGGCCCTAGCTACATGTGAACTTGTGTGGATTAAACAACTCTTTCAAGAGTTGAAATTTTGTAAAAATGAGTAGATGAAGTTGTGTTGTGACAACCCGATAGCTCTTCATCCCTCCTTGAATCCGATGTTTCATGAAGGAAAAAAACACATAGAGATTGATTTTTATTTTGTTAGAGAGAAATTGTTGTCCAAGGATCTTATTATTGAGTTTGTAAGCTCTAATGAACATCTCGCAAACATTATGACTAAATGTCTAGGGGACCTAGGATTTAATTTATATGTTCCAAGCTTGGCATTTATGATCTATATTCTCCAACTTAAAGAGGAGTTAAAGACATACACTGTATTTTTCCATCTCATTTATCTAAGTGTAAGCACTTATCAAGAAGGAGATCTTGTTTTTGCATTAATGAGGGTTTGTTATAGATCAACCTTTATATTGGGTGGAAATTCAATGACTTGAAGAAGTAAAAACCAAAAATGTTGCAAAATCTAGTGTAGAGATTTAATTTCAAGCTATAGCACAAGGGCCTTTGTGATATAATTGAGAATTATTCCAAATGATATTAAAGTGACTTTTGAAAAACCTAGGACTCTTATATTGTGATAATAAATCAGCTATTAGCATTGCTCACAGTCCAATTCAGCATGATAGGATCAAGCACATAGAAATAGACCTATACTTCATTAAAGAAAAAACTTCATAGTGGCCGTATAACAACTTATGTTTTCCATCTATGCTTCAGTTAGAAAATTTGTTTACAAAAGGCCTTTCCGTGCTAGTTGAGAATGATTTAGGGGGAGTGTTGAGTCACGAGAATGTACTTTGTTAAGTTACAAGAAAATTTTGTAATCATTACAAGTGTGTTGTTATAAGATGCTATAGATCTTTTTGTAATCATTGTTTGTGGTAGAGTTCTTTACATATAGAGGCTTATGTATTATTTAAATTATTCAGTTCAATAAGATATTTTTCTCTCATACAACTAAATCCTTTTCAAGTTATAGTATATCTAGAGTCCTCTGAAGTGTGAAGTATGAGGTGTAATATATTGACAATGCATTCCCATAGTTCTTGCTTTTTGTTTTTTCATTTTGGTAGTGGTTGTTGTAGGTGATGGTATCTAACAATTCTTCAGTGGTGGTAATGATACTCTTTGTTGTTTCCATCAACATAACCTGTCTTTAAATCATGTTATTTTAATACTTGCAGGCAATGAATTTCTTTGCTGGTTTATTGCTACTTCTTATGCCAGAAGAAAATGCCTTTTGGTAAGGTTTAGGAAGCTTTCGTATATTTTTCCCTTGTTGGTCCCTTTTTCCAGCATATACAATATCTTGGTAAATTTAGTTGAAGATGTACACAAATTGAATTGAGAAATGTGAGTTGAACGAATATTGTCTAGGCCCTACATAGCAATCTTAGATAAATTCTGGAAGTATAGCATATAGCTAGGTCAGATTAAAATCTAGAAGTATATCAGTCCTATTTTCTAACATGGTATCATAGCCATAGTTAGAGCCTATCCTAGCGATATTTGTTGTTTGTTGGGCATATTGTTTCACCCGCTATCGGACCACCCATTAAAAATGTCTAATCTCACGCTTGAGATGTATATACCTTGGCGTGAGGGGGTGTGTTGGAAATCCCACATCGACTAGAGATAAGACCAATTCATAATTTATAAGTGGGTGCAAACCTCACCCTACAAGTCGGTTTTGTGGGGTTGAGTTAGGCTTAAAGTCCACTTCTAACATGGTATCAGAGCCATGGTTAGAACCTATCCTAGCGATATTTGTTGTTTGATGGACATATTGTTCCACCCGCTATCGAACCACCCATTAAAAATATCTAATCCCACGCTTGAGATGTATATACCTCGGTGTGAGGGGGTGTGTTGGAAGTCCCACATCGACTAGAGATAAGGCCAATTCATAGTTTATAAGTGAGTGCAAACCTCGCCCTACAAGCCGGTTTTGTGGGGTTGGGTTAGGCTTAAAGTCTACTTCTAACACAATCTAAGTTTAACTAAATCCATTTACCCATATACATATATATAATTCCTTTTTTTTAGTAAAAAAATAAACTTTTTGGACTGACCCATTGACCATTTGGACTATCCCACAAAACTAGTATTTTGAGAAGAAAAAAACTAGTAGGTATGTGATAGGGGTTAGGGGTGTTTGTAATCGTTAGCAGTTGGTCAGTTGGTAGGGGTTGCCTTTATAAGAAGGCAAAGGGCTCTTGTATTTTTGTATTCTTTGATTACAAGAATAATAAACGGTCTCTTTTTCCAGTAATCTAGGTGTGTGAGTGTTGTGTTCATGAGAGATTGATTTCTTACCTAAAGAAATCTATCAAATTGGTCTGACCTACCGGATCCTTGGGAGAGTAGTGTGATGGAAGGAAGACTGAATGCTTTGGAGGGGAGGATGGATTCGTTAGAGACTAAGGTGGAGGAGTTAATAGCAGAAGGGGAGTTAGGGATCGGTGAATGGGGATCAGATAGGGAAGAAAGAGGGCTCAGAGGAAGAACTGCCCACGTTTAAGGGGTCGGACCCATTAGGGTGGATCTCAAAGGCGGAAAAATTCTTTGACATCCAGAATGTCACGGAAAAGGAGAGGCTCATGTTGGCTTATATTTGCATGGAGGGAGGCTCGAGTTATTGGTTTAGGTTCTGGAAAAAGAAAACCAAGAACCCTTCTTGGGAAGAGTTGAGGGAGGCGCTGATTAGGAGTTTTAGGGGAAGGAATAAAGGGACGATCTTTGAAAAGGTAGCAGCGGTGAGACAGAAGGAGACAGTGGAGGAGTACGTTCAAGAGTTTGTGATGACATTCTCCTTAGCTAGGTTTGGCCAAAACTAGGAGATGTGCATGGAGGGGTGTTTCCTTGGATGGATGGTGCAGAAAAGTGGTGGTAAATGGTCCAAGGATGATGAGATAAGGTGTGTATGGTGTAGAAGTTCATGGCCTCTAGGAGATATGGTGGTGATTGTGTAGTGTTTGGTGGCTCCAAGAGAGGTGAGGCCAACCCAAGGAGGAAGGTGACTAGAGGGGCCTCTTGGGTTCCTCTAGTCTTGATCTAGGAAACATAATTTGGCAGCATAACATTACATTAATCCAAGATGAAATGCAAGGGTGGAGACACCAGTATTTATAAGCCAAGGGTGTCTCCTTCTAACCCTAAAAGCATGATTTCCCACCTTTGCTCTCATTGGTAAAAAGTGAGGCCTTTTAAGGAGTGGACATGTTACGTATCTGAGTAGGAGACGCAACCTGAACAACTTCTCACGCACTCTCACAGATATATAGATAAAAGAAAATGGATGAATAAACCTCTTTTACTGATAAGAATAACTGAATCAAAGAAAACAAGCAATAACTGGGAGCATAATCTCCTTCAGTCTCCTGAGAGCATAACCTCTCTTACAAAACTCACAAATCAAAAGCATACCTTTAACCCTAAACTTCCCCTTTATTTATACTAATTATTTCCCGCCCAACTTGTACTGAATATTAGAAAATATTCCTACATGCAATAATTATCTTATATGAATATATTTAGCCTTATTTACTATATTTAACTTATTTACTAGATATGACTTTGTTTACTCTAATTATCTTTTGCTGAATATCTCTCTTATTACTCTAATTAGTTGCCCGTCCATCGTAAGCGCTATGGCAGTTAGGATGCTTCCTCGCTGCTTCCAATCGTTTGGTCTGGTAGCTCCCCCTTGTCTACCGTTCGGCCACCTTGCGCCCCGCTTCGGTTTGGTCGTTCCCCCTCGTCTACCGTTCGGCCACCTCGCTCCCCGCTCCGGTCTGTTCGTTCCCCCTCGTCTACTGTTCGACCACCTCGCTTCCCGCCTTCTACGAATATAACTAGGCTGGAGTATAGGCTTGTGCTAGGTCTGATCACCCCTGTTTTTAGCATTTCCGCCACCTGTTTTTCTATATCACTTTTCACAACATCTGGGTATCGATAAGGTCTCACATTCACTGGTGGTAACCATGCGCCTATCTGGTGGTAACCCACTAGGTTCCTTGAACACCCCTACATATTGCGCCAAGATTTTCTCCATCTCTTGTCGTTTATCTCCTATGATTCCCTGATAATTCTCCTCTACCTTTCTCCATCTCACCCAATTCCCAAACTAACATCCAGGCCTCCACTTCTTTTATTTTCAACAAGGCCTCTAGAGCCACCCACCGTCTTGCTAAAGTCGGATCCTCCTTTATATTTCTTCCTTCCTGATTAAAACCCATAGTCAATTTCCCCCAATTCGAGGTTACCTCTCCCAATGTCGCCAGCCATTCTACCCCCAATATTACATCAACTTCTCCAAGTTCAAACAGGTGAAATCTGTCTGTCACCTCAACCTCTCCTATGCAAACCTTCACTCTTTCACAGCACCCCCTAGTCTCCTTTTTCTGCCCATCTCCCAGACTAACCAGGTAGGGTGGGGTATCCGCAGTGGCCAGTCGTAATTCCTTGGCTCCCTACTGATGAAGTTGTGGCTTGCGCAACTGTCTATTAGAATTAACACCTGCTTTCCCCTGATTTCTCCATGCAGTTTCATAGTTTTGGGCTGGGTAAGGCCTCCAGCAGAGAATGCAGAGAGCTCCATCTGCATTTGAACTAAGTCTGTCTCCTCTTCTCCTCTGTCCTCCTCCTCATTCTTTGCCATAATCACTATTCTCAAACTTTTTTCAGGACACTGATGGCCCGGGCTGAAGGCTCCTCCACATCTCAAACATCTTCCCTCCTCCCTACGTTTCACGAATTCGGAGTAGGGTCAATTCCTAAAATTCCTCCCTCTGTTATCGAAATTGGGTTTCGCGAGCCCGCTCCCTTGCGTCACCTCCTTGTGCACTGACCCACTACTCTCCTCCGGCCCCGTCTGATTGTGGGTTTGTCGACTGGGCTCAACCCGCGATACCGCCCCTGTCGCTCTACTCCAAGTTGCCAAACTTCTTCCCAGTCCTCCTCCTCCTGCCTTCGCGCCTCCGTGGAGCTCCTCCACATCACACGCGATTCTCATTGCAACCATCAATTCTTGAGGGTCGAGGAGACGCACCTAGTTACGTTTCGCCTCTTGCAACCCAGCCAAGAAATATCCTAGAAGTTGTTCCTTCGGTATCTTCGACGTTTGACCACCAAGATTTTGAAATCTTGGATATACTCTTCCACTGAACCGGTCTGCTTGATGGTGGCCAACCTCTCAAATACGGATCCCTTGCTTCTTCCCCCAAACCGCGCCACCATTGCGTCTTTCAACCCCTCCCAAGAACGGTTCTTGGCCTTCTCTTTCTAGAACCTAAACCAATACCCAGCACTACCTTCCATGCTTATGTAAGCCAAACACACCTTCTCCTCCTCCTCCGCCACCCCTTGCAAATCAAGAAATCTTTCAGCTTTATTGATCCAATTGAGTGGATCCGATCCCTCAAAGCTGGGTAGTTCCACCCTCTTCCTCCAATTAGGTTCATTCTCTTGACTTCCGCCCTCTCTTCCACCATCCTCCTTTTCCTCCATCCTCCTCTTCCTGTCTCCTTCTTTTTCCATTGACAGATGCCTGGCTACCATCTGACTGTTGGTCTTCTTGATTCCGACCTCTTCCTCCCTGTATTCTCATGATCTCCTTCAGTTCTTGGCGTATTGCAGTAGTATCTTGACGCAACGCCCCTATCTCAGCCTTCATCCTATCAACAACAATCTCCACCGTCTCCAATCGGCCCTCCATCACATTCAATCTCCCCTCTACTCTTCCCTCCATTGAAATTCTCACGCACCTCACTATGGATCCGGCAGGTCGGACCAAATTGTTAGGTTTCTCAGTATTAAACCTAAGCAATAACTCTCTAGTAGCTGATAGAGTAAAAGAAAGAAAGAATTCTCTTATTCACACTAAAGAAATCGTCCTTTACATAGAATGGGTTGGGAGCATAACCTCCCTCACAAGGTTCAAAGAACCTGTCTGTACAACCAACGTTCCAAGACCCCCCTAACTAACACAGCAGGGACTATTTATTCAATCCCTTTCCCGCCTCCATCCTAACTGTTAAAACAGTTAGGCTATTTAATTTTTCTTTCTCCTTTCATATACAATCCACTGCCTATCAGATATTGATTTCTTACCTAAAGAAATCTATCAAATGTGGATTGATCTGTTTAGTTACGAGCTTGTTAAATCCAAACCTGTTTCGGTGTGGGCCTTTACTAGTTGGTCTCATAACTGTGGGCTTAGTTGTACCTGTGCATATGTGTCCAGACGTATCCTCATAGTACTTTGACCAATTTTTTATTTTGTTGACTTATTATTAGGTAAAAATGATCTTCTTAAAATGCTGTCTGTTTATACATATGGCCACATTATTAACAAAACACTTGGTTGTATTATCTAATGTTTTATTGGTTTATCTCAGGGCATTTGTTGGCATTATTGATGAATATTTTGCAGGCTATTATACTGAGGATATGATAGAATCCCAAGTAATGATCATTTTCCGGCCCTTTTTTCTTTTTCGAGAAAAGAAATTTTCTTTATCCTGTTTCCCAAATCAAACGCCTTTTTTGTTAATTTTAGTATTGAGGTGTTTGTATTTCTCTTTGCAATCATGGAAGCTTTTCATGTGTCAGGTGGACCAGCTTATTTTTGAGGAATTGATGCGTGAAAGATTTCCCAAACTGGGTTTGTATTTATTATCTTTGCTCTTCAGTAATCTTCAAATAATTGTCTTTCTGAATCAGCTTGGATTTTTTTTTTATTCTACTGATGCTTTTGGTGCAGTTAATCATCTGGATTACTTGGGAGTGCAGGTGCCATGGATATCTGGGTCTTGGTTTCTATCAATCTTTGTGAATGTAATACCTTGGGAAAGTGGTGAGATTTATGTGGAGTAAATATTTTTATCTCCTTTAATATTACAGCATTGGTTTTTAGTTTTGGTTATTCTGAAATGTTATCTTGTTTTGTGTTTCTCTATATTAGTTCTTCGTGTTTGGGATGTGCTACTATTTGAAGGGAACCGTGTTATGCTATTTCGAACAGCACTGGCTCTAATGGAATTATATGGTATTGAACTTTACTTTCCTGTGTTTGAGTTATCTGTGCAAACTATCATGTGTAAGTTGTAAACAAAATTAAATTATAGTTTGTTATATCTTCTTTAAAATGGCTCAATTTTTCGTCTCTTATTCTAGGTCCGGCATTAGTTACAACAAAAGATGCTGGTGATGCAATTACATTGCTGCAATCACTTGTTGGTTCAACATTTGATAGCAGTCAACTTGTCTTTACGGCTTGTATGGGTTATCCAGCAGTGACTGAGGCCAGATTGAAGGAACTAAGAGATAAACATCTGCCATCTGTATTAGTTGTCATAGAAGAAAGATCTATGAAGGGAAGGGCTCTTAAGGATTCCAAAGGGATTGCAACTAAACTGTATAGTTTCAAACATGATCGAGGGTCTCTGGTAGAAGAAAGTAAAACCACTGAAGAAAGTGTTGCAGTAGCTGATGCGAGTGTGCAATTGGCATCTTGTTCCTCTAATTTAAATGAAATGCTCAGTAGCCTCAATGTTGATTCAGAACTGGAGGCCCTTCCAGATCCCCAGGATCAGGTTGCTTCCTCTACAGTCTACACCTCAACATTCATTTTCCTGTTCTCAATTCCCTCCTCTCCCCCAAAGGCCTTTGTTTGTGAAGTATATTAAAATTTACCTGCCGTTAACCACAATTTTGACTTACAAATTCACCGTGGTCTACTATTGAAATGCCTTTGAGATATGACTTTTTGTCTTTTTCTATATTGATCAGGTTAGCATAGATAACTTAATAGTGGTAAAAGATGCTCGAATGCTTTATGTCAGAAAAACTGTTTCTAATATTATTCATAGAGGAGCAATTTCTCTTAAAGAGAATGCATAGACGTAGTAACTGAAAATCCTAATTTATGATGGCTATAATCTGTCCCTACAATTCTGGATCAATGGTCTTGTACAATAAATATAAAATATACTGTCAGCTTATTAATCCTCCTAATTATCCAACTAATTGTGAAATGTAGTTAAATCTCCTAATTCTGTAGTTAAAATTGTAGAAGGAAATATTAACGGCAACATAAATCCAGGGATTCTGACACTTTACAATGTGAAATACGACCCTTGATGTGAAATATATGCATGAGTAATTTTAGTGGTCATGATATGCTTGATTGTTAAGTTCATTTTTCACAGTTGCTGCTGCCATGTTATGATTCTGTCTGTGCTGCAGCATTTGAGTCAGTTTCACTTAAAAGATTGAAAAGGAATCATAATAAGATTATCATGAATAATTTTGACATATTCTGGCTTTTCTATAGTTCTTTTATTTGTTGATTTTATATATTCCTGAATTTTTTCCCTTTCAAATAGATTAAATCTGATGCATCAGAAAATTTACTATTGAAGATTTGGAAATTACCCATGTTTTAGATTTAGACCCTAATAGTATTAGGCTTTTCTCTACTAGCATGTTAAGCTGAGTGGCCATCCTGTAATAGTTAGTTATATTATATGGCTGTCATTGTGTTTGGACAGCTGGAGTCTGTTGTAGAAGTGCTAGATGTTCACTGACTAGCTTGCAGCTCAAGCTATCTGATTGTCTGATACTTGAGTACTGTAACTCATCATTAATAATTAGTACATTTTACGAATTACAAAACTTATCTTTCTTGAATTCTTTAGACCATAAATTCACTACGAGTTGTCTTTCTGCATTCCTGTTATTGATCAATTTAAATTGTGGTCATGGAATAAAGGTGATATACTTGTACAAAGAGTATGTTATAGATTTCTGTCCCAGTGTACTCAGGCTGTAATAGTGATTTGTAAAACTGCTTGTACAATTTTGTTTAGTTTAAATAATTTATAGAGGATTATTGTGCAGACTATTAATTTTATAAGATATGTACACGTTAAGGAAATAATCATTAGAAACCTGGTTCGCTGTTTGCAAATGTAGGAAAACTTCTGTTTACTTCCAAAGAAAATGGAGGATAAGTGGATATCATATTCTTCCTGTAAAAGTTTGCAGTTATAGAAGAATGTAGTATGTGATTGTATATCCTTTGATGAGAATGCTAAAACTCACTTGCTATCATACTTTTTTGAACTCATTCTCCAACATCGGTTGAAATTTATTGGAAATTACAATTTTTTGTGGGTTTCAATCAGCATTTTATGAATCTCTCTTGATTTTGTAGTTTTCAGTAAATTTTAATTAATTATAGAGAATGGGTTAGAAAGACTATTAGAATAGTGGGGATGGATTGTAGTTATATGGTTATCGTTTGTATGGCTGAGTTGGCATGTGTGGGTGTTGTGAGTATAGATGCAAAACCCATTGAATATAATCCTGTTATTATGTTTGTGTTGGTTTTCTGTGTATGACAGTAGTCTTTCCCGTGCTTCAACCACCACTTCATTGATAATAAATTATATTCGTGGCATTTCATAGTCTATTGTCCTGGCTTAATTTTGAATTACAGTTATATTTTCCCTACAAATAATTACTTTATTATAATCAACTCTTGTGCAACTCTTTAAGTTTCAATCATTAACAGCTTCTGTGCAGGTGGTTTGGTTGAAGGTTGAATTATGCAGTTTGCTGGAGGAGAAAAGATCTGCCATACTCAGGTCATTGTTTTTTTGTAGTTCAAATTGTAAATCTAGCTCTTTTAAAACCTATTTTTTCCCCGGCTTGCTAATAAAAGAAAGTCAATAGAATATAACTGTAAAAACTGTAGCTGTTAAGTTTAGACATTGTAAATTAAATGTACACTTTTTTAATTCATTAGGTTTTCGGTTTAGGAAGTAAGGGAGCGTTCAGTATAAGAGAATTTTTAGTTTCCCTAAAATCTTAAGTTGAGAATCCTAGAATTAAGGGATTCTTTTGAGAAGTCAGCATTGGAAGTTGTTTTGTATGTAGCTTTGTATATGCCTATCCAATATCATTTTTTGTGATTTTCCTTCATCAATAGAAAAGATGCATTTAAAACTATTAATGCCAAATATTTTAATTCCTAATTTATACAACCTAAATCAGGAACTCTAAATATCTGCACGTTATGGGGATTCCTGATAATTCTAAATCGATTCAAATATACTTTTTATCAATGTAATATACTGCTCCTCATATATTCTTTTAAAAAATGGTCCTTGTAATATATCTTATTTTTCATTTTAGTCCCTATAATTTTTTCTGCATTGAGTTTATCTGTTTGTAAAAAAGCGGTGACAAAAAGCATTATCTTAATTGTCATAATTATAATGACTGATAATATCTCCTTATAACTCAACACCCTTCCCAACAATTTGATGAATGGATATCTATCACTTTTAGCTTGCATGTGAGATCATGAAACCATTTTGTGGAAGACCCTTTTTAAACAATTCACTAGATGGAGTCTTAATGGGATGTAGGAAGTAGTGATAAGACTATTATCCAATTTTTCTTTGATGAAATGTTGATCTATCTCTGTGTGATTTGTTCTATCATGTTGAAGTAGATTGTGATCATTACTAAAAGTTGATTCATTATCATAGTAAGGGTCATAGGTTCTTCACACTTCACTTTAATGTTATTCAAAATAATTTTCAACCATAACAATTCAAATACAACTCGAAATTTAGCCTCCACGTTGCCTCGCAATTACATTTTGTTTATTCTCCAATTTACTAAGTTTCCACCCAAGAACATGCAATATTTGGAGATTGACATCTTATCAGTAATAGTCATTGTATTTGTTAGAATAATTATTAAAGTCTAAAAGTAGGGAGTAGTGTGTTGGGAACCTCTTCCAACTATACCTAAGAGTCTAGGGCAATCCTTTGATTTTTCGTCTTCTCATTGTATCTTTCATTATAAATAGAATATCATAAGAGGGGTCTTTAAGCCCTCCAAAATATATTTTCTCTCTTTTTAATCTGAAGTTGGTATTAGAACGGGTTGATCCTGCTTTGCTAGTTTCAGTCATCTCTAGCACATTATCTCGCCGCGTTTGCCTTTCGTCACCAGCTATTGTCGTTGTCCACTACCACCATTGGCCATTGGCCATCCCCGTCGTCAGCCACCTTCCTATTTTTTTTGGTGACCACTGGATCTGGATAGCTACGGCCAACCTTGCGAGTTCCAAAAGCTAGTTCGTCTCCACACGCCGCCACATGCTAAGTTTCTATCCATTGCAACTAGGTGTGTGTCACACACGCAGCACCCTCTCCTCGTCAGAACTTCGTCATGCTGCCATCACAGTTTTCGTTGAAGCTCCCTATCTTTGTTTTGACATTGAAACTTCATTTCAGCAAAGTCCAAAAGTCATCCCAGCAAAGGTCACCCTAGGGTTTTCTCTGCACTAGTTGTTTTCTTCTCTGTCAAAAGAAATATCTACCTAAGTTATTGTCTCATTCTCTAGAAGTCCTTCCATTTGTTCCAAGAAACTAAATGGAAAAATTATCTCTCTTGCTCTACATATGCTGAAATGTGGTTCCTTTGCCAAGGTTATCATGACCAGCTTGAACAAGATGGAAGCAATGTGCCTCTTGAGAAAGCTGAACATTGGAAGCAGGTTGATTTCCAACTGTGGCCTACTGTGGTAGTGTATTGAACCAAAACTATTGGGAACACTTGTAACACATTTTGGAAGAAAGCTCAGAACATTTTTGCAGATGATATTCAATGTTTTTATGACTTTGCCAATAGGCTTGCATCTCTCAAATAGACTGAATACTCTTGGTTTTGAAATTCGGTTGCAACTCAAAAGTTTCCTTAAAGGTTTGAAACTTAATAAGTTTCATCTGGAGTTTTTATTAGAAAATCCATATATGGAAAAAGCATCAACAAAAGAAACATAGTATTTATATCCTGCATGAGAAGTAATTTGTTTAGGTCCCCTCAAATCAGTAAATGAGTTCTAATGGAGAATATGCATAACTAGCTAGAATCAGGAGAGGGCAACCTGTGAGTTTTGCTAGCATAGCAGGGTTTACATAAACCAGAATCAACTTTATTGGACTCAGGAATTTTACAATGTTTGAATACAAGTTACAAAGCTAAATCAATTTCGAGCTGAATTGAGAACAAATCACTGAACAAAAACATAAATTGATGAAGTGAAACAATCTCGATCAATGCACTGATTGAAATCAAAAGAAGATGAAGTTGAAGCAGTTGCAATTGGGACAGTGAAGAAATTAGTGCAGAAATTGGATCGTTGAAGAAAAATCTCTAGATACCATCTTAGATGGGCTGAATAGAGAGAAAGAGAGAATTGAACATGAACTGAATATTTTTCCTAATATTTAAAGAACAAATTAGAAACAACTGAAGTATCATGAAACAGATCACAGAATATCTTTTGATTAGCATGATCAGGTCTCTAGGCTTTTCTTGCAGATATGGTCTTTGCTTGCTTGTTTCAACGGCCTTCTTTGAAAAAAATTGTTATGAACACAAAATTTGAACAGTTTCTAGTTTAGATTCTAAGAAAATTGAGACATGTTGCTCAGACAAGACGAAATTCATAGCCAAGCATGGTAGAGGAATAATAATGTTATGATCAAACCACAACCTTTGTTTAGTTTTGGTGAAGTACCTAATTCTGATCAACCCCAAAAAGGAAAGATCCATTTTGTCACACAGACATTATTTCAATCCAACAGTCTCCTTACTTCAATTACGAGTAAATATCCATGACTCAGCATGTGTCAACACACCTCAATAAAATGGGGTGGTAAAAAGGAAAAGTGAGCACTTACTCGATACACTTCGTTTCTTTTGCTTCAGGAAAAGGTTGTTAAATCTTATTGGGGAAAGGCTGAATTGACAAGGAATAATAATTCTGAAATCTGAATATTATTTATTTTTTTGAAGTACAACCACTAATCCATTTATATAGGTAAATCATAATTGAGAATAAAAGGAAATAGGATCTCCTACTAACTAGGGCTAATTGCATATTTTGGTTAAGCTACTCACTGCATCATAGATGATAAAAAGACTGCTCTCACATGTACTGGACAACAGAAATCCGTAGAGCTCTTGAACAGCTTCTTTCCTTCAGGACCTCAAATGGACTCATTTACAACAATTGAATTTACAACCTTTGTTCATATTCATAACCAACACAGAGACAAACTTTATCCTTGGGCTGTCATTTGTGTTTTCCTTGACAATTCAACCACTAATAAAGGTTATTGGTGCCCTGACCCATCATAAAAGAAATGTGGTAGCAAGACATGTATAATCAAAATTCAAATTTATTACTCAAGGAGTGTGCAAATTGCTATCGTAAAAGAATATCCTAGATGACTTGAAAGTCAAGTTTGAATGTCCAATGAAGCTCTATCATGACAAGCCAGGGATAATCAATGTTTCACAAAATCCTATAATTTATAAACCTTGACAGAATAAAGCATATTAAAATAGACACTTACCAAGGAAATTAATAAGATCTAGTGTGTAACATATTCCATCTGGACAGCAGGCAGCTAATGTGCTGACCAAAAGCTGGAGTAAATATAGATGTAAACTAAATGAAAATTGCTTCAGTGTATATCAGGTTTGAAACTGCTAGAATTAAAGAATTTTGTTTAGGATTCTGACTAGGAAGTTTTTCCTGACTATTAGGTGTGTTTATTTCCTTCTATGTAGCCCTTGTACCGTCAATTAATACCTGTGTAATATCATTTTGAAATAGTACATCGTAATCATTATTCTTGCTTCAAATAGTGATTTTCTACAAAATAAATTTTATGAAGGAAATATCAACCTAGTATAGTTAGGCTAATGCTTAGACCTGTTTACACAATAATCATGTTCAGGTCATGCCAAAAAATGGGGTTGTAATCATTCCTAGAACTTCATTTTATGCCACATTGTTGACCTATTTATGAGAATATTATTCATGTTGCATGTAACTTTATCAATTAGGTCTTATTTAAAATCTAAACCACGTAGCCTAAAAGGGGTTTGGAAATAGTTCTCAACCAACAATATATGCATATTAACCATGCTCTTTGTTCGACATTGTGGACCCATTTATGAAATATGCTTCATTTTGTATAGTGGCTTTATATACCAATTTGGTTCTCTAGCTCGTAAACCAACCACTTAATAAATCTTTATGTTGCATTTCCTTAAGAACTTTTGATGCCTTATTTGTAACCTTTCTTCTTCATTGCCCATGCTTCTTCGTTAATAAGATAAACTATATACAGTGATTTTAGATCTTTGTGATATCTTCTAAAGACAATTTACTCATTTTTGTGTACGTGTTCCAACCTTGAACAGAGCTGAGGAGTTAGAAACAGCTTTAATGGAGATGGTGAAGGAAGACAACCGTCTGGAGTTGAATGCAAGGGTATATTTGTTTGGATGATCCATATTCTTGTGTGACCTTTCACATTTTTGGTATTTTATTGAGTACCTATGCTTATTAAATGGGTAAAAATAAAAATTAGAAATTATTATTTGTTCTTGCCCATTTGAAATTTATATCGAGTAAATTATGGTCTTTCAGCTATATATATGGATAATCAAGATTGAATTTTCCTTAAATTAACACAACCACATAAAAAACGTCACTTGACTTGTTTTAAACTAGACAGTTCATGCTAAGATCTATTGATCAGTATTCCTGCCCCTCTCCCTTTCTCCCTCACACAAGCATCCTTGAGCAAAATGTGGATAAAATGGGAGTAGTATGATTACCAGAGGGAGAAGAAGACTACAAACAACATGATAAATAATTTAAAAAGACCTTAACTCTATGGTTTTTATGAAGTTTTGACTTTTGATAAAGCCAAAAGACACTCAATAATCTTTGTAGCGACTTGCCATCTAGTGGTATTAAGCTTGGTTGCTGAAATATTTGAAGTTGTCGAATTTAAGAGATTAGATAGAGAGAAGGAGAAGAGAGATCAAAGGGAGTGATACACCAAATTGATACTTGTTGAGCTGTATTACAAAGTAATGTTCATAAACTTAGAACATTATATAGTAACTATTGTTAGTAGGATATTAAATGCATTAGTGGAAGTTGCTAGTAGGATATTAAAGGGAATGATACACAAAATTGATATTTGCTGAGTTGTATTACGTGTTACGGTATAAGGTAGGGGGTAATAATAAGGTTTGGAAAGGATATGAGAAGGAGAAGGAAGATAGGAGGGAAGTGAGGCCGAACGGTATTGACCGTAAAGGCCGAACGGTAGCCGAACGGTGGAAGGCGTGGAGAGGTCTAGCCGAACGGTGGAAGGTGGTGAAGAGCTGGAGCCGAACGGTGGAAGGCGTGGAGCGGTCTAGCCGAACGGTGGAAGGTGGTGAAGAGCTGGAGCCCAACAGTAGGAGGCAGGGGGAAGCAAGCCGAATGGAAGAAGGGGAGGAGCGGCCAGGCCGAATGGTGGAAGGCGAGGAGCGACCAGGCCGAACGGTGGAAGGCGAGGAGCGACCAAGGTTGTCAAACTCGAGAGTTTACGTAAACTCGTAAGAGTCCAGTAAACTCGACTCTTAAACTCGAATCGTAAACTCGTAAGAGCTTACTTTTTAAAAAAATATATCAATAACATCTAATTCAAATAAAATAACAAAATTATATAAATTTAAATACATAGTTTTATAGAAATATTACTCATAGAAATATTGTAAAACATAAATTAGAAAAAAAAATTAACAGTGTTTATTTTTGAAAAAAATAAAAGGAATAATGCTTGTAAAATGGTGCAGTGCTTGTAAAACAAAATATTTTTAAAATATATGTTGCAGTAGTGTAGAATAAAATATCATTAAAATATATGTTGCAGTGCTAAGAATGAACCCAACATAAAATCATTAAAAAATATATATGTTTCAGTTCCGTGCCATAAACTCAACATAAAATTATTAAAAACATATATGTTGCAGAGAGACAGGGCCACAAACCCAACATAAAATGTTTAAAATATCTGTTGCAGTGTCAGTGCTATAAACCATTAAAACTCAATGAACCCATCTGAGAGTTTGCACTTACAGACGATGCAAATGGCAGGAACGAAACTGAGATCAAAGGAGGAGATTGATGGTGAGACGGAGGCCGAGTTCGAACGTTGAGATGGACGGCGCGACGGAGGGCGAGCTTGAACAACGAGATAGAAGGAGAGAGTGCGAGAACGAAGATGAACAGTGAAAACAAAGATGAACAGTGAAAACAAAGATGAACAATGAGTGAATCTTTTAGAAAACCTAATATGGTGAGTCCTAAAAACGTAATCATTTTTGTGTTTTCGAAATTTCTTCCCAAATTCGCAAAATCGGAACCAAACTCGCGATTTTAAGCGAGTTTAGCGAGTCTACCACCGATCCCACCGATCCTACTCCGAAAACGAGTTTGCTTACGAGTTAACTCGAAAGCACTGTGTGAACTCGTAAACTCGACCGAGTTAACGAGTTAACTCGCGAGTTCGATAACCATGGGAGCAACCATGCCGAACTGTGTAAGGCAGGGAGCGAGCAGGCCGAACGGTGGACAAGGGAGAGTGACCAGGACGAACTGTGGGAAGCAGCAATTGACCTGAGCCGATCGGGTGAAGAGTGACTATCCTAACTGGGACAACAGTTAGGATAGGCGGGAAATATTTAGAAATAATTATAGTAAATAAGAATATATCTTAGGGAAATATTTTATTTAGAACAATATTCATCTTTTATTCTAGGGAAAGATTTTATTTAGAACAATATTTATATTTTATTCTAGAGAAAGATTTTATTCTAGGGAAATATTTTATTCTAGGGAAATATTTTATTTAGGAAATAATTAGTATAAATAAAGGGAGAGTCTAGGGTTAAAGGTATGCTTTTGATTATTGAGTTTTGTGACAGACATTATTTTCTTGTGAGGGAGGTTATGCTCCCAAATAATTGATGGAGGTTATGCTCCCAATTATTGTTTACTTTTGTTTATTCAGATAATACCATCAATAAAAGAGATTCATTAGTTCATTATCATTCATTCTTTAGCTTTATTGCCTATTGTGTTTGTGGATCGTTACGTATCGACCTTAGGTACGTAACATAATGTAGTGTTCATAAACTTAGAACATTATATAGTAACAGTTGTTAGTAGGATATTAAATGCATTAGTGGAAGTTGCTAGTAGGATATTAAATGTATTACTAGAAGTTAACTTGTTTCAAGATTCCAGAGATCTCTTTGTAATTATTACTTTAGGGTAAGAGTTCTCTATATATAGAAGTTGATGCACTAATTCAAATTAATCAATTGAATAAAGACTTTTTCTTTCAGATTAATTTTTTCTCTTAGACAGCGTGAGCCTGGAGAAAAGAGAGAATATGAATAATGAAAGAAACATTTTTATTGATCTCAGAACAATTTGAAATATGTCCATGATAGCTGTTTATAAGAGTCATGTTTCTGTTAATACTAATAGAAGCTTACAGCTGTACATAAAAGAAATAAACTTACAGTAAAGCATACAGTGCTGTACAAAATACAAGACTGACTTAAAACAAGCCAACTATAGTATGCTAACAGCCCCGGTCAAACTCAATGGGAAATTTTTTCTGAAGAAAAGCTCTTCACATTGAGTTTGCCTCGATGAGCAAAACGTACTGAAGAAAGGGACTTAGTTAAAATATCAACCCATTGATCAAGACTTAGTATATGAGAATTAGACAGCTGCTTGGCCATAATCTTATCACATACAATGAACATATCTGTTGGAAGTCCCACATCGACTAGAGATAAGGCCAATTCATAGTTTATAAGTGGGTGCAAACCTCACCCGACAAGCCGGTTTTATGGGGTTGAGTTAGGCTTAAAGTCCACTTCTAACATGGTATCAGAACCATGGTTAGAGCCTATCCTAGCGATATTTGTTGTTTGTTGGGCATATTGTTCCACCCGCTATCGGGGCCGCTATTGAACCACCCATTAAAAATGTCTAATCCCACGCTCGAGATGTATATACCTTGGCGTGAGGGGTGTGTGTTGGAAGTCCCACATCGACTAGAGATAAGGCCAATTCATAGTTTATAAGTGGGTGCAAACCTCACCCTACAAGCCGGTTTTGTGGGGTTGAGTTAGGCTTAAAGTCCACTTCTAACAGTGGAAAATAAGACTGATTTATTATTCTCAATCATAAAAAATACATTCTGATACTTTCTATTTGTAATAGTCTAATTCTCCTAAAATGGAAATAGGGAAACTAGGAAAGTAAAATAAAATAAAGATTATAGATCTATTTCCTCTAATTAGGAAGATTCGAAAGATATTATCTCAAATTACAACACTCCCCCTTAAGCTGGATCATACAAGATTGTATGAACCAAGATTGGAATAGTCAAACTCAATTGTAGAGAACGTCAATAAACCAAATTGGACAGCAATGGACGAGGGCGAACTAGCACCATGAAACTTCAACTTGGACAGCAATGGACGAGGGCGAACTAGCACCATGAAACTTCAACGTGGGCAGCAATGGACGAGGGAGATTTCCATCAAAAATGGATGATGACTTGCAGCAACAAACAACAACAAACTACAAGAATATATGAAGGGCCTCTAGTGGCGAACAACGACAAACTGCAGGGACTGGATTGCCATCAATAGTGGCGAACAACAACAAAACTTCAAGAACATGATTTCCATGAGTAAACATATGGGAGGCCTTCAAAGGCGAACAGCCACAAACCTTTAGGGACTTAACTACCCTAAACAACAACAAACCTTCAGGGACTTTGAAGACTAGATAGTAAAGGAATAGATGGATAAAAGGAAGATATGAACTCAATAGGACTCAAGAGGGTAACGGGTTAATATGATAGGCCACAATGAGTAGAGCCTTTTCCCAATAACATTTAGGGACATTCATTTGGAAAATAATTGGTCGTGTCACCTCAAGAAGGTGCATATTTTTTTTTTCAGCAATGTCATTTTGTTGGGGGTGTATGCACACTATTAATGTTATGTTTTCTGTTAGTGTTTGCTACTGTTATACATCTTATGTTTGCTGTTGTTTGTATTTTATTATTTTCTATTCAGTTGTATTTCTTTCTGTTTTTTATTTTCTCTTATTTTGTAATTTTCAAAGGTTACACTAGTTAGTATGTAACTTTTGTCTTCCTCTCTTTTAAGTTCTATCTAGCAGAATTGAACAGGATGTAATATGATTCTAAACACTTAATGTCAAGCATCCTTTTACACAATCACACGACTGGTTTCTGGTTTATTTGATCTCTATTATGGAATCAGAGCTAGTTGTTGATCCACCATGGCCAATCCTCATGAACAACACGATTGTCAGAAAGGAAGTTATACATGTCATGAGTTACATATTCCCTCCGATTATCAAAATGTAAACGTTTAATTGACTTCCCGAATTGTGTTTTTGCCATATGAAAGAATTTGACAAATAAAGTAAAAACTTCATATTTTTCTTTCATGAGAAAAATCCATGTAACATGGGTACAATCGTCAATAAACATGACAAACTATTTAGCACCAGAAATGCAAGATTGGAGACAAAAGGTACTTGTTTGTGTACTAATACTATCTTTAGTTCTCAAGTTGTGAAAACAATGCAACCCTCTATGTTCCTTAACCGTTCGAATTGTCGTCCTTGTGGCAAGTTGTTAAAACAATACAACCCTCCCTATTTCTTAACAGTTCCAATCATCCTCCCTGTGGCAAGATCCTTAAAAACACAGTGAATTGGAAGAAGGTTACAAAACACTTTAGGTCATGGGTAAGCATTTTAGCAAAAATAAGATTATTAGAAAGGTTTGGATGATCCATAGCATGAAGATGAGACCATGAAGGTGATTGTGCAAAAGCAATGGGATTGTATGGTGGGGATGCTCTCGGTTGGGATATTAGAAGGGTGGGATTGGTGATGTTTGGTTGCTCTCAAGAGAGATTGGGCCAATTCTTAAAGAAAGGTGGCTAGAGGAAACCTAGATGAGGTGGCCTAGCCTTGGTGACCTAAGTTGAGTAGTATGGCACAAATTTGGCAGCATAGCAATACTCAATTCAAAGGTGAATGTACATGGAGAAGACACCTTTATTTATAAGCTTAGGTAACCCTAAAGGTGTCTCCAAATGATAGAAGCAAAGCCCTAATACTCTAACTGGGAGACCAAGGTAAAATTCTCTCATTAGGAGGATGATAGGTGGCCACTACTAAGGAGAAATCCTCTCCATTAAGAGCATGACAGATAACCACTACTAAGGAGAAATCATCTCCATTAGGAGAATGCCACATGGCTAGAACATATGTCTCACAAAAGAGAGCAACTTGGAAACCACTCTAGCCAAGGGCCCACAAACTTCTAGAAGGTTTGCTCTCCAAGCTAGGTTTTTACCTTAGATCCATGTATCTCCTTAGGGCCTAAAACCCTACACTACAACCAGAGGCCAAATACAAGGCCTAAAAGAAAACCTAGACTACTTGGCCCATTATACAAGGCCTAAAATGGACCTAATCTACTAAGAACTAATTGATGGTCCATGATGATAAGAGCTTGGGCCCACCTTCCACAGATGACTTCAACTCTTCTTGAGTATGCTTGGCCATGACTAGGGGGTTTTCCATCATCTAGGGAATTTATTTGCAATGGTCACCTTGTTGAGACCCCTATAATCTATACAAAATTGCCATCTCCCATCTTTTTTCATCACCAAGATTCTTAGTTGGATGGGGGGCTAACTTCAAATGGATTTTTTAGCATTGTTTATTGAAATCTTCATACAACCGCAATCTTGAAGGTATCCCCAGTAGAATTGGGGTTACAAGTCTCCCACCATTGAAATCAATTCAAAGCTTTACCTTCTAAAGCAATCAAGACCGCCTGCATTGTCTCTTCCTCAATCACATCCTTTAATCTGAAATACCTCTCCAATCGATTCATCCATCTATAAGCTCCTTGCCTGCAAAAACAGGAATGTCTAATTTTCTCCATCTTGAGGAGGACGTTGTGTGCTCCTGAACCTGCTCTCTGCTCCTTCCATTGCTTTCGTTAATGCCAGATATATTGTGAGACGTAATCTTTGCTGCTGACACTTGCTACGCCACCATAGTTAGCCCATGAATCATGTCTTACAAGCGTTGAAGCCTCCCATGATATTCAATTTCTTGGGGGTTACGATCTTGAATCAGTTCTTGCATCATCTTTTTGAGAGAATCCATCTGTGGTTTCATTCGGGTATGCACCATACCGTAATGCAGGTCTCCCATAGAACCAAGATCGTGCTCTAGATACCAATTGATAGATTCAACCAATATTGAAAGACCAACAAGACAAGTTCATGGTAGATTTTTATTAGAACAGCACTGTTTTTGCCAATGTGGTAGAAGACAGTAAAACATCAAACACAGAAGGACTTTCAAGTGGTCCTCAACTCCCTCAACCCCTTACTTCCTAGGAAAACAAAAACCTTTTTTTTCTCTTCCTACACTGACTATTTAAAAATAGGCAGTTTACATGGAAAAAACAGTTTACAAGAATAAAAACACAACATTTACAGGAGATTATAACTGTCATATTCAGATATACCTCTTATCCCTCCTCCTATAAACAATTCCAAACCTATCATCCCAAGAGATTGAAGATATAAGACTTCAATTAGAACATGAGGAAACTTTGGACTGGATATGCGGACTTAGATCTCTTATAGGTGGTTCTAATTAGACTAGATGAAATTAAGTTTAATAAAGTTTCCTATAAATTAGGAGATATTATATGAAAAAACAGAGATACCCATATCTTTAAAGTCTATATCGTTTATCATATGCTTAGCATTTTATATCTTTTCTTAGTGATAAATATAAGATTAGGCTCAGTATACAACCCTAGTTGAATTTTCTGGCTTGAAGTCATCATAGCTTCACAGTACCTTCTAACCAGAACATTTGTAAACTCTTACTCTGATTCTTTTTTTCTTCAGTTTAGTTTAACCCTAGATCAGAGATGAATACAAAAAATTAATAAAGTAAAATCCTAATTTATGATAGACACAATCTAATCCTATAATTCAGGATCAATGATCCTATATAATAAATATAAATATACTACCAGTCTATTAATCCTCCTAACATTATAATCTAATTAAATCTCCTGCTTATGTAATTAAAGTTGTACAAGGAAATATTATCTACAGCGTAAATCAAGGGATTCTAACAATATAAATAAATTGAAGCTTGGGGCATGTTTTCATATAAATAATATAAATAACTCTGATATAAGTATCGAATCATGGAATTAGCATAGAGTACTTTTTACCTAACCCCATGAAAAAGGCATAAATACTAGGAAAACTTGCTCAGTTTCCATGTCCAATGATGTTTACAATTTCTTTTCTCTGCAAAATATTTTTCTTCTGGTGTTTTGGATTATGAGGCTTACAAAAATGTTTCAATCGTACAGATAGAGCAACTGGAGCAGGAGTTAGCCGAGTTACAACAAGCCCTTGCTGATAAGAAAGAACAAGAAGTTGCCATGCTGCAGGTTCTAGTGTGCAACTGTTTTCTCCAGTGTCTATTTCTGTAAGCTTATATGCAAAAATGAATAAATAAATAGAGATTAAGAAGAATGTCTTTATATGTCATGGAGAAAACTTTGAAATCTTCTCCGTGCTACAGGTTCTAGTGCGGCTAGAGCAGGACCAAAAAATTACTGAGGATGCTCGCAGAAGAGCAGAGCAAGGACTTGCCGCTCAGAAATTAGAAGTTCATGAACTTCAGGTATCCTTTCCCCCTTCTTATGATTGTTGTGATGCAGGTCATTCGCTACTTTCAGTGGAGTAGTAAAATTTGCAATCAAAAATCATAGTTAGAATATCATCATCTGTGATAGTAAAATTTAAATAAAAACCTGTTTATGAATCATCTGATAAGGTATCCTCATCTAAATCTGAATTTCATTGAGATGCATTATGGTTTTAATATTTTTTCACTAGTGCTCTCAGTAGAGGTTTGAGTACTTTTCTGTATGTCTCACATGCCTGATAAGAATAGAAATGCATGAGTAATTTAAAAGTAAAATAACTGATACACTCCAAATATTTCGTTAATATATTTACTTATTTATTTTCTCTTGGTAATGTTCTTGGAAAGAAATTATTCTTTGCTAAGTGGTTGTATTTAGCTCACAATGTGCTGCAGCAGATGGTTTTCTTTTTTTGGCTAAATGGATATGGTTAATTATGATTGAGAGATACTATTTTCTTCATCTTTGTTTTGAAGGTATAATGTAATTTAGAATCCCTCAATTTTCAGTTAAATTCCTTAGTTCCCACATTTTGAAACACAAATTTTGGTCGTAGTTATCTTTTTTTATAATTGGTGAAGTTTGTCCCTACTTTATGGACAAGGGACCAAGTTCACAAATCATCAAATTAAGGAACCAAAAACACATTTTATCCAAGTGTTTAATCTTTATACCCTCAGTACGTCCATGGAATTGAAGAGCTTTCTAATACGACGTGCTGATATATTTCCCAGAGAGAAAAAAGTAACCACACTGCTATTAAGGATCTTACACGACATGATTACATCTATTTCCAGTATAATAAATATGCAGGAAAAGTACGACAAGGCCATGCAATCAATTGCTGAGATGCAAAAGCGAGTTGTGATGGCAGAAAGTATGTTGGAGGCTACCCTTCAATATGAATCTGGCCAATCCAAAGCACTTTCTTCTCCAAGGTAAAAATTATTTCAGCTGTTGCCTTTTATAAGTTATAATTTCCCTTTGCACAAGGTCTTTTGAACTCAATATCTCGAGACCACCGTAATTTCATTTGTGAACCTCTAATTAAGCATTCATAATTTCATAAACCTGTTTGAGAAAACTAGCCCGGGTTTATTTTATATTTTTTTTCCTTGTTAAATACCAGATAGCAAAATAAAGAAACTTTAGATAACTCTCCTGGTTTAAAACAGATGAAAATTGCCTATTTGAGAAGTCCCCATATAGTATTGCAAAAGAAAGTTGGTTATTTTTTCATGCTGTACGGGGTAAACTATGAAATGCAGGAAAAATTTAAGAACTAGCCCGTATTGCATTGCAAAACAAAGTTAATAAAAACTTATTCTGTGATATACTTAATAAACTATGACATGCAGAATTTTTTTTTAAAATGGCCCTAGATGGCTTTAAGGTTTCCTTGACGAAACTGAATAGCAATGATGTATATGGGGCTTTAATGAAAAGGCTTGGAGTCGCTGGGTAAATATCATTGTTTGCATTTATCTGATGCTGAACTGGAGGGAAACCTTCAAAATTTCAAATATGATTTTCTAATATAAGTTGTAAGCTTTTACCTTAAGTTTTACAGAAGTTGTGGCTGGCTTCTAATGTTTGTTCACTTCATCGTAAATAATGTCTGTTCTGTCATTTGAGTCCTGTGGACGTAACCCAGTTGCCATGGATTTGTGGGGAAGGAATTCCAATACAAAGAGCTTGATGCATATATGATATATGATATATACTAAATCCATTAATTTTTGAAGACCATATTCTATTAGCTCAACTTTATTGGAGCTATTTTTGTAGGGCTGGTCGTGTACAAAGCCCAAGGTCTGAAAACCCCTCCCGGAAAATTAGTTTGCTAAGGTTTGGACTTGGCTGGCGTGACAAAAACAAGGTAAAATATTTTCTGAACTCTCTGTCTCCCAATTACCTGTATTCTTGCAGGAGACCCGTTATTTGGTTATATACAAATTTATGAGTTCGCTATTCGTTGGTTGGCATGCCAGTCGAACTAACAATTTATTATTGAAATTCAATTTTACTGCAAGTCACGTTGGTGTTCATAGTTATTTGAACTCACATCTCACATGTTTCAAGGAAAAAGGTTGTGTACTTTTAGTTCGGGGTATTAATCTTTGAAGGTGTTCCCAAATCGTATAATACTAGTAGTCCACATGGTTGTGTTTACTGGTCTGTTTCGGCTGATAGGAGCTTATTTTTTGTAAAGATTTTCTCTTACACATCCTATGAAACAGGGCAAACCGAATGCTGAGACCGAGGAAGCTGGCGAAAGTTTGCATAGTAATGGCTCTCCGAAAAAAGAATCCGATACCCAAGAAACTGATAGATAGAATTCACATAGCAGTGCCACAAGAACAGCACCCGTTGCTTTCCTGTCGACTTAGGAGTTATTAATTGTTTCTGATTATAACTGCCCAATTTTTTGTTACTTGTCTCATAAAGTTAGGGGAGGAATCCACTGTGAGGAATGTTTTATATGTTGATAGGCCAATTAGATGTAGAAAGCACATTCTTTCTTTCACTGACACTACCCAGTCTTTCAAAAACGTAGTGTCTTGATCTGTTTTTTATATAAATTTAGGCGGAACAACCGTGCCATTAGCATAGTTCAACGCCTGCAAATATGCACTTCCTCCGTCGTCCACATGCATGAACAGTTCAGACAAAAATATAAAACATTAGAGGACTTGTTCTCTCAATAACTCTTAGTTTAATTTTTCTCGAGCGAAGAACTACTCTTTAGAGGATAAATTGTTTTGATAATATCTGATTGCAAAAGCAATGATTAAGATTTTAACAAAACACATTCATATGGATAACTATCCATCAAATTGATAAATAGTAACAATTGATATAGTAATTACTGACTATAATGTGAAGTGCGACCCCTTTTCTTAAATGAGTCATAAAATAACCATCTTTTAATAAACTAGATTTAGACCTCAGTTATTTACTCGGTAGGTAAAGCAAACTTTCCATGTTTGTTTTTTAAATTACATTTGAACTTATCTTTTAATAGTATCACGTAAAAATTTTGAGAGGTCTATGATTCTTGCAAATTTTTTTTTAACTGTCTCATTTTATAAATCGATTTGTATGTACTTGTTACAATGTAACACTTTTGCCTCTTTATAATTTTATGAACGTGATTTACATCTCTAAGAGGCAGGGTCGTCATGCATCAAGCGCTTCGGTTTACTTACAAAATTATGTACTAAGAAAATTCTAGTCAACATCTCTTAGGTTTTGTTTATGAATTTGGGAGAGAGTGATTGAATAGATTTGAGAGGATTTGAAGGTAAAATTTTTTGTTGTTTATTTGAGTGGATTTGGAGATAAGTGAGAGTGTATTTTGAAAATAAATTTTTTTAGTGTCACATCAATCAAATCCTACTCTAATTTTTACAAACTTTACTTTCAAATTTACTCTCACCTACCTTCAAATTCACTCAAATAAATAATAAAAAAATTTACCGTCTTCTTCTGAGATCCATTCAATTACTTTTTCCCAAATTCATTAAAGTGAACAAAGAGTTAAAGAAAAATCAGTTTGTCAAAATATAGAACAGTAACTGAGCAGGGTTCCACGCCAAATAGGTTTATTTTAGGTCCCCACGCCCTTCGTTTCCCAGTTCAGCATCTCGTGGTTTAATTAGGATTATATCGTGACATTTAATCATCATAAGCGTGCACGTGTAATTGCAAAGAAACTCCGGTCAAGTATTGTGCTATGGAAGTGAATTCAAGAGCGATTGCACCGCTTAAAACAGTATAAAATGTTACATTTAAAATCTGTACCGGACAATATAAACATCTAAACAAGACAAAAAAAAAGTAGGAGATAACACATGATATTATGTTATACTTCCTTAGTTTTAAAAGCCAAATTTTACAGAGCTTTCGTTACTGTACAAACGACCAGGATAAAGAAAAATTTACAACTATGCCAAGAAAGAAGGAACATGAATCATGAATCCAGTAATTTGCTTTAAAAATCGAAACTAAGGGAAAAGGAAGTGGATATTCCATCTTGGCTCCAAATGGAAAATAGGAGCACTTATGTGCACCAGAAGTACAACAAAATTTTACAACAATTTTAGCAACTATGCTCTGAACGAAAAACACCACCATAAGACAACCAGTATTAACATCTACAAATCTATATATATTTCAGTATACGGTAAGATGTTTGAAATTTGCACCAGACTACCATTAAAAAACATTGAGCTCCATATCACTATCCCCTCTTGGTTCTAGGAGGAGTTCCAGGAGCAAGGCGAGAGCTTTGTACAGTCTGTGTATTGGGATCATATTTTTGTGACGCAAGGTAACTCAAAGCAGTGACAACATCAGCTATAACTGGACGCATATTGGCCTGCTCCTGAACACACATAGCTGCAACAGCAAGGGCCTGGTATAGCCCTCTTGAAGGATATTGACCTTGGAGCATCGGATCAGCCATTTGTGAGAATTTTCTTCGATCTTTGAACAAGGGTCTGGCCTGCAATTTAATCAAATTACTTAAATAAGGAGAAAACACAAGGCATCAAATTTCAAAATCACAATTGAATACGGTAAAGCCAGTCAGAAAATTTATGGGATATGCAGAACTTTGAGCACCAATTTCAACAACACGGTAGGAATTTCATTTTATGACAAGATTTTGTTGAGAAGGGAACAAAATAAAGATGATGAAATCAGAAAGCCTACCAAAAGAAAGGAAAAGAAAAAAAGAAAACGGAAGAAAATATCAAGTTGAAAGAACTTTTGAATTACCATTTCTTCTTGAAAGCAATGTACATCGCTAATGATCTATACATCGCTAATGATCTATAACTGAGAACTATTAACTATTTGACTGAAAATGATTTCACCTGGGAGGTAATATTTTGAACTGTTTGAGAAAAGATACAAAACACCTCTTATAAAAGGGAGCAAAACCATAGGTTGCCCTAATAGCAAATCCCTATGAAAAATGAAATAACGAACTTGCAAGTCCTATATTTAGGAAAGAGATCAAATAGTTTCCTAATAAAAAAAATAATCCATTTCTACCTGGTTACTTACAATATAACAGAATATTTACAATAAACGGAGAGATAACAGATAATTGTGGTAGACTTTAAGTACTTTCCACAAATTATCACAAGTCCACTTGTGCAAGTAAAATTTACCAGGTATGCCCAATTCATATTGAAATACTTGCCTGCCCTTATTTAAACCACACCACACTACCTTTTGGCTATTAGTATGCAAATGAAGCGATCCAGTGTTATATTGGATGATTTATAATACAGCGTTCCTGCTTATAAATTACGAGTCAGGCCTAACAGTAGGACTTTCTTACCCATGCAACAAGATTCTGCTCTCCTGCAGATCTTGAATTATCAATTGCTTTCCTTCCAGTAATCATTTCCAGAAGAACAACACCAAAGCTATAAACATCTGATTTCAGAGTCAGTTGACCTGTCATTGCATACTCTGGTGCACAATATCCATAGGTTCCCATAACCCTTGTTGATACATGGGTGTTTTCCCCCACAGGGCCAAGTTTAGCCAGACCAAAATCAGATAACTTTGGATGATACCCTTCACCAAGCAAAATGTTGGAGCATTTTAAATCACGGTATATGACAGGAGGATTAGCTTTGTCATGTAAATATTCCAATCCCCTTGCAGCCCCAGCAGCTATTTTCATCCTCGTGTTCCAGTCAAGTTGTTTCTTCCCAGGAGAAATATCTGAGTATCAAATATTTATTAACAATATATACTTGAAGCCAATACATAAAGAATTGAAAGAGATGACATACAAATTTGTAATAAAAATACCGTGTAAGTGGTCTTCCAATGATCCTAATGACATAAATTCATAAACTAGAAGCCTTTGATCCCCATCAGCACAATAACCAATCAGGTTGACAAGGTTAGGGTGGTGAAGAAGACTTAACATCAAAACTTCAACAAGGAATTCTCTGTTCCCTTGTAGTCCATTTCGGTCAAGTTGTTTAATTGCAACAATCTACATTCAACGTTAGAAAGCATGAAACATGTTGCCATATCAAACTACACAAATTTAAACCTCATTCCATTGCTGGCAAAACTCATAAGGTGTTACTATGGCTGTCAGATAGCAATGTGGATGAGAGAGAAATGATGAATACCAAGAAAAAAAATGAAGCATTTCTTCATTTCCCTAAGAATTTCCATATTCTTCATAAACGAAGAAATCATGAAAAACAAACTCACTTGATTAATATTTTCCAAACGCCCCTTGTAGACTCTGCCAAAGCCTCCCTCACCCAAAAGACATTCAGCTCTGAAGTTTCTAGTAGCAGTTGCCAACTCACGGAATGAGAATGTCTGTGCAGCAATGTGATCCGGGTTTCCATTTTTAGTGGAATCTTTGGAATTCATGGATGAATTCCTCTTCAACATCCCTGCGTTCAACTCCAAAAACTAATGATTTAAGCGTGAAGAAATATAAACAACAGCCGGTTTAGATTTAACATCCAACACCAATTTGTGTTTCTTCAGTGTCTACAGTTCAAAAGTATCACATGGTATGTTTCATTTATCAAATTCCAGAAGAAGAATCACATACTGACTTGGTCTCATAGGATGCATAATTTCAAAATTAACATCATCAGTACAACTTTTAGCTGACATGTATTCTTTGTGAAAACCAATAAGCTAAAAGAAAGAAATCAAATGCACAAATTTTTAGATTCAACACTACAGAGGAGCATAAGTGTTAAATAAAAGCATTCTGTCATATTTTTATATGAAATTCAACCTATCTTTACCTAAGAAGTTGGCTCATCCAGGACTCAATCTGGTCTACCACATGCATAAAATCACAAAATTTCATTCATTACAAATGAGAGAAGACATGTTATCGTTACTATCATTATTCAACCCCAATTAATCTTCATAAGAAAGGAACAAAAGAAATCGAGGGAAAACACAAGTCTCACAAGAGGGGTCTCGCTATCCCAAACAATTGATGACTTGATTTTACACCCAACTCCAACAAAATCAACAACATCGCTACCTGGGGTGGTTTTGATCGGATCAACAAGACTGTTCTGCACTTCCATCTTCTCTAACTTCTTCTTTAGCTTCTTCTTAGTGTTTGAACTTCCAGAACACGGAATCCAACCCATGTTTCAATTTGTTTTTCCCTCTTCCCTTTTCACGCAGATATGCAGATGGTTGTCGAAGAATCAATGGATCAGTCAAAATTCACATGAAAATGAGTCACCTCAGCATTCTCTCTCTTACACTTGGTGTTGCTTTAATGTAATCATAATCACCAGTGTCTCTTGTGATTGTGCGGTTGTCTAGGATTGGTTTTCAATTTTCGTAGTATTTTCAAGCAGAAATTTCGTCATTGGTTTCCTTTTGGTCGGAAAAACACCATCATTGGCTGAGATGCGCCACACTGGATCAAGGCTGAGACAAACTTCTTGCTCACATCCCCTTTGACGATGTCGTTTAAGTGTCTGTGTCCAAATATATAAATTAGGTTTAATTGTGTTTTTGGCTTTTATAGTTTACTTTGATTTCAATTTTTGGTCGTTATACTTAAAAAATTGTTTTTATGTGGTTATTACACAGAAGCTTATTTTTTTTAATCTTAAATTGTTTTTTACAAGATATTTTTTAATCCTCAATTATCATTACACAAAAAGAAGGTTGGTATATTTCATTGTATTT